TTCTTCCAGTAGCAAGGAATGGTCTTCCCAGTATTATGAGCACCTTTTTGTCAACTTCACAGTCCAAGACAATGAAGTCTTCTGGATAGATAAATTTGTCCACTCGTATTAGCATATTGTCAATCTTGCCTTTAGGATGGACAACAGATCGGTCGACAAGTTAAAGTGTAATTTTTGTGTCTTGTGCTTTACCAATGCCAAGTTTTCTAAAAATCACCAATCCAACATTTCTTGGAAAACACCTTATTCATAAATTTGATGTAGTTCGATATTTTCTATAATGCTTCCAATAATGGTATGTTAACGTACAATTACTTCAGGACATCAATAAATTTTCTAAATTACTGGTCCTCCATGATTTTCTAGAATCTTTGAGGAATGGAGGTGGTTGTCTTAGATTTTGATGCACTAACAATGTTGGGGGCATCAGTGTTGTCGGTATTATTGGAGGTAAAGTCCCAAAATTACTGCTCAGTCCTGAGTTATTTGTTGTGTCATTAATGCTAGGTGATTCAATTACCTTTTCTGGTTCCTTGCCTTTTGATTGTTATCTAGGCCTCTCATCCTCTTTCCTTTGTTCTCATCATGGTTCCCAATTTAGAGTCCACTTCGTGTTGTGATAGCCTTGCAATGCATATTATCATCCGCCTTAGGAACTTCAATATCACTCAGCAGTTCTCCTTATTGTCTACAAGTCAATGCATTACACAATTCTCTAACTTAATTCTTCAATTCTCTCAGTGATATTGACTAGTTAATCACAACTTCATTTCTTGAGATGTACTCCTTCAGTAGAGACTCAAGTGATGTTGATGATGAAGCAGGATCAGACTGCCCTTGGTAACTATGTTGATTGTTATGTTGTATGGCTGTATTGTGTGGTGATATGGCTATATATTATAACAAAAACTATTGCTATGTACATTATTGTCGCTTATATTGCCGTGTATACCTAAAATTTGATTGTAATGTCAGAGTGGGGTTGAGATGATTATAGAAATTTATATTGTAGGTGTTCCCACATATGTTTGCATTATTATTCCTATTATAATTTCTCATGAAATACACATGCTTAGGTTTTGTGAACATTCTTTAAAATTATGATTAGCACAACAATAAACACGAGTAATAATAGATGCTGATTTAACTTATTAAATACCTCTAGGTTTTTGCATATTTTCATCATTTCAGGGAATGCTGTCACATGTGTGGTTAGTATGTTCAGAGCATCGTTTTCTACTACAACAACAACTTGTCTACTCGACATAATCCTTGGGTTGGCGTATTGGTAGTCATTGTTGGAAATCCTCTCCAAGATATCATAAGCTTCATTGTATGACTTGTCCAACAATTCTCCAATTGAGAAAACAAATACAACCATCCTTATTTATATGTTAAGTCCAATGAAGAATATCTTTGTTTGTGTCGAATACTGGAAACCATGCATCAGACATTATCGCAGCAAATCTTTAAATCACTCCCAAGCTTCATAAATGTTTTCATCTTCCATTTGCTTGAAAGATGTGATGTCATTTCTCAGCCTTGCATTAATGTTGGGTGGTTTGAATCGCAACAAAAACTTTTGGGCAAGTTCATTCCAAGATGCTATATCACCAGGTGGCAACAAATTTAGCCATGCTTGGCTTTGTCACGAAGTGAGTACGAAAATAATTTCAGATTTAAGGCCTCATCGGGCACTCCTTGTTGTACGAACGAATCACACACTTCCGTAAATACTCTCAAGTGATGGAGGGTCCTCGGCGTGCAACCCGCTATATTTCCCCCATTGATTCCAACATTTGGAACATCACATGCTTTAATTCGAAGTGGGCTGCATGGATGACAGGACGAATAATGCTAGGATTTAAATAATCTAATGTGGGCACAAAATGTTCTCTGATTGACCTATTTCTATTATCAATGTTGTGGTAACATGATAGCATCATAATATTTTACATACAAAGAATCAATCTAGCATTATGTCCTAATTGCTAATGTTAATGTTGATCTCCCTCCATTGGTTATTAATTCGACAACAAGCTGTTAAAATCTACCGACAAAAGAAAAAGCAAAGTTAGTAAATAAAAGAACTCAACTCTAAAAGTAATGACACTAAAACTTGATACTTCAAATAATGTAACAACAATCATTGTAAGCATACACTATCGTACCTACAATAAAGTGGATCAAACTAATGCATCGAGTATTATATCCACAAAGACTAATATTACTCAGAGAATTGCCATAGAACTTAGATCAATTTTTTTTGTTTCTTTTAAACATGAACGATATCAAATATTCTCCAAAATACATACAAGTCAACCAAGCACATCATTTGGTAAATAATTATAACATCACAAGAATTATTAAGTAAATATCAAGTTATCTCTAAATCTTAAGATTCTCGACATTAGATTGTTATCGGTAATAAACATATCATAGGTAAATGCAAAGTCTCATCAATTGTTTGTCTATCTAAATGTCGTGGCAAGAAATGTCATGGAAAACTCGAATTAACAACACAAAACATGACAAATACACATAATAATGAACAAAACACCCCCAAACATGAGATGCGAATTTCCTTCAATGCATGTAAAAACATAAAATAAAATAAAAATAAAACATGGGAGAAGAGACAATAATTCTCCCTTAATAATGTTGAAGATCTTGTGCATCAATAACTATGTAGATGCATTACTAATGTTGCATCAACGAGAGTCAGAAATTGAAGAAGATGTTCGACAGTAAGGAGTGTTTGTAATTCCAAATGATGTTGTGAACAAAGGAAACATGTGATGACTGATGGTGCGGTGATCGAAGTGGGAACCTGACCTAAAAAAAGAAAATTGTTAAAGAAAAATAAAACAATCTAATCAAATGTCACAATAGACTTATTGAAAGCATGTAAAAGATGATATCACATAGTGAAATGGATATTTGTGGTAACTTCTGTTGGGTCCTAGTAAAATGATATCCCCTTTTGCTTGTCGAAGGTTGATGTGACATTATCGTGTTGTTCTAGGTACTTTACGCTTGTGAGATCAAAACATTGTTCGAAGCCGAATTCTCACTTACTAAAATCAGTCATGAAACACAGTTCTTCATTATCACCATAGAAATGTTGTTGCTTCACGGGGTGAATTTGCAGATGAGAATCTTCATCGGTAAAGCCTTGCAAAACCTTCTTTATTGCCTTCACTGCTGTTTTGTTTTTCTACACCATGGTAGCATTTATAGTTTTCCTCAGGTGCTCATGCTGTGACTCTATAGTTGGCGTTAGCGGTGTAGAGTTACTGTTGATGCTAGTATTAATGTATAAGAATTGGTTCCCATCAATTTACATATGCTCTTCATGGTCTAGCTCGTTTCAGACATTTATTGTCGCAATAATATTAAAAAGTTCTTCAAAGCTCACACGCTCATCTAATTGTTCATCTATTATTGCTTCAATAATGTCAATATCATGACAATCATCTTCTTCATCGCATTGTAGTGGGTCGAACACATTGAATGTAATTTTTACTGATTGAGACGCAATGTAAGTTCTCCCTTTTCAACATTGATTAATGTTCTTCCAATAGCAAGGAATGGTCTTCCCAGTATTATGGGCACTTTTTGTCAACTTCACAGTCCAAGAACATGAAGATTACTGGATAGATAAATTTGTCCACTTGTACTAGCACATTGTTAATATTGCCTTCAGGATGGACAATGGATTGGTCGATAAGTTGAAGTGTAACTACTATGGCTTGTGCTTTACCAATGCCAAGTTTCCTGAAAATCACCAATCTTATGTTTTATGGAAAGTGCCTTATTCATAAACTTGACGTAGTTCGATGTTTGTTGTAATGCTTTTAGCAATGGTATGTTAATGCGAAATTGATTCAACACATCAATGAATTTTCTAAATTAATGGTTCTCCTAGATTTTCTAGAATCTTTGGGGAATAGAGGTGATGTCTTAGATTCTGATGCACTGACAATGCTGGGGGCATCAATGTTGTCATTATTATTGGTGGCAATGTCCCATAATTACTTCTTTGTCCTGAATTTGCTGTGTCATTAATGCTAGGTGATTATATCACATTTTCTGGTTCCTTGCCTTTTGATTGTTGTCTAGGCCTCTCATCCTCTTTCTTTTTCTTCTAATCATGGTTTTCAATTTAGAGTTCACTTCTTGTTGTGATAGCCTTGCAGTGCACATTTTCATCCGCCTTGGGAACTTTAGTATCACTCGAAAATGCTCATTTTGGTCTACTACTCAATGCATTACCCAATTGTCCAACTTAATTCTCTAATGCTCTTAGTGATGCTGACTAGCTAATCACAACTTTATTTCTTGAGATGTACTCCTTCAGTAGAGACTCAAGTGATTTTGATGATGAAACATGATTGGAAGACTGCCCTTGGTAACTATGTTGATTGCTACGTTGTTATGGCTGTATTGTCAGGTGATATAGCTCTATGTTACAACATCAACTATTTCTATATACAATGTTGTCGCTAATAATGCTGCGTATACCCAAAATTTGATTGTAATGTCAGAGTGGTGTTGAAATGATTATAGAAGTTTTGATTGTAGGTGTTCCCACATGTGTTTGCACTGTCATTTCTGTTATAATTTCTCGCAAAATACACAGACTCGGGGTTTTGTGAACATTTTTATTTGCACCACAATAAACACAAGTAATAATGGATGTTGATTTAACTTCATACATACCTTTAGGTTCATGTATCTTTTTTATCATTTAAGTCAATGTTGACACCTGTGTTGTTAGTGTGTTCAGAGCATGGTTTTCCACTACTGAAACAACGCGTCTACCCGACATAATCCTTAGGTTGGCGTATTAGTAGTCATTATTGGAAATCCTCTTCAAGATATCATAAGTTTCGTTGTATGACTTGTCCAACAAAGCTCCAACTGAAGAAGCATATACAACCATCCTTGTTTTTATGTTAAGTTCATTGTAGAATATCTTCATTTGTGTCCAATGCTGGAAACCATGCATCAAACATTTTTTGCAGCAAATCTTTAAATCACTCACAAGCTTCATAAAGGTTTTCATCTTCCATTTTATTGAAAGATGTGATGTCATTTCTCAGCCTTGAATTAATGTTGGGAGGGTTGAATCGCAACATGAATTTTTGGGCAAGTTAATTCCAAGATGTTATACCACCAGGTGGCAGCGAATTGAGCTATGCCTTGGCTTTGTCACGAAGAGAGTACGAAAATAATTTTAGCTTTAAGGTCTCCTCGAGCATTCCTTGCTGTACGAACTAATCACACACTTCTATGAATGCTCTTAAGTGTTATCGAGGGTCTTTGGGATGCAACCCACTATATTTCCCCATTGATCGCAACATTTGGAACATCACATGCTTTAATTTAAAGTGGGAATCATGGATGACAGTATGAATATTGCTAGGATTTAAGTCATCCAATGTGGGCACAAAAGGTTCTCGGATTGTCATATTTCTATCATCAATGTTGTGGTAACATGACAGCATCATAATATTACATAGGAGGAATCAATTCGGAATTATGTCCTAATTGCTCCTGTTGATGTTGATCTCCCTTCATTGGTTATTGCTTCAACAACAAGCTGTTAAAGTCTACCTACAAAAGAAACATCAAAGTTAGTAAATAAAGAACACAACTCTAAAAGTATTGATACTAACCCCTGATAACGACACAAAAAACATGATGCTTCGAATAATGTAACAACAATCAGTGTAAGCATACACTATCATATCAAGTAATAAAGTGGATGCAAACTAATGCATCGAGTATTGTATCCAAAAAGACTAGTATTACTCAAACAATTGCCACAAAACTTGACCAATTTTTGTTTTGTTTTGTTTTATTTTTGTGTTGTTTCTTTTAAACATGAAGGATAATCAAATATTCTCCAAAATACCTACAAGTCAACCAAACATAACATTTGGTAAATAATTATAGCATAACAAGAATTATTAAGGAAATATCAAGTTATCTCTAAATCCAAAGATTCTTGGCATTGGATTGCTATTGGCAATTAACTCATCATAGGTAAATGCAAAGTTTCATCAATTGTAAGTCTATCTAAATGTCATGGCAAGCAATGCTATTGAATACTCGAATGAACAACACAAAACATGACAAATGAACATAACAATAAACAACACCCCCCAAACCTCAGATGTGCATTTCCCTCAATGCATGTAAAACATAAAATAAAATAAAACATGGGAGAAGGGACAATAATACTCCCTTAACGTTGTTGAAGATCTTGTGCAACAATAATTGTGTAGATGCATTACTACTGTAACAATAATGACAGTTAAAAATTTAAGAAGATGTTGGGTAGTAAGAAATGTTTGTAACTCCAAATGACGTTGTGAACAAAGACAACATGTGATGATCGATGGTGAGACGATCGATGTGGGAACATGACCTAAAAAATAAAAATTGTTATAGAAAACTAAATAATCTAATCTTATATCATAAATGACATATTGAAAGCATTTAAAATGTGATATCACATAGTGAAATGGAGATTTGTAGTAACTTCTCTTGGGTCCTAGTAAAATGATATCCCATTTGCTTGTCGAAGGTTGCTGTGACATTATAGTGTTACTCTAGGTCCTTTGCGCTTGTGAGATCAAAACATTATTCAAAGTCGAACTCTCGCTTACTGAAATCAGTCATGAAGCATAGTTCTTCATGGTTACCATATAAATGTTATGGCTTCACGGGTGAATTTTTAGATGAGACTTAATTGGCAAAGCCTTGTAAAACCTTCCTTATTACCTTTGATGCTGCTGTGTTTTTCTACACCATGGTAGCATTTACAGTTTTTCTCAGGTGCTCATGTTGTGACTATATAGTTGGCATTAGCGGTTTAGAGTTACTATTGATGCCAGGATCAATGTAGAAGCATTGGTTCCCCTCGATTGACATATGCTCTTCATGGTCTATCTTGTTTAAGTCTTTTTTATCGTGATGATCACGTGTAAATATGTGTGTATGGCATGCAAATCTATGTAAGTATACACAATAGATGCAAGTAATATAGTAGTGAGTGAGTATCGTCTCTACAGGGATTGTAGGGCTTTTAAAGATTGCTACAACTAGGAATATGTGTCACTAACTGATCCTAAGTATCTAAGTCTAATTATATAAACAAGGAAAATATGCATTGGAAAATGGTATGAACAGATGGAAAATAGTTTGGCCGAGGCAAGAAAAATTGTAAAGTGAAGTGAGCAGAAAAGTTTTGTCGAGGCAAGAAAAATGCAAAGGTAAAAAATAAAAGTTGCTAAGGCTGAAATTGTCAAAACTCTGTAAAGAGACTGGCAACCTCACACAATTAGACTTCTAATGGAGCACTTGGGAAAAAGGTAGTAGTGAGTTGTTATCCACTTTTCACCCCATCATCATAGCCGCCCATTTTACACTATCACAGTCGTTCATTTAAATTCGATCGACCAATTCATCTCATCCCTATCCATCCATTTAAATCACAAGAAAGGATAAAAATAAAATAAAAATTATATTTTCACCTAGTATTTAAAATACCTTTCAACCCTAATAACTCACATTACATTTCCCTTTCATTTTATTCCTCAATTATTTCCCTCTCAAACACTAAAAACTCCATTTTTTTTCTTTGTTTTATTCCTTCCCACTATTCTATTTTCTCATCAAAGCTTCAATCCATGGCCCCAAAAAAGAAAGCTCTTGAGAAGGTTTCCTATCGAACGCCGACCCTACTGCCATGAGCATCGCCAATGCTTTCTTTGACAACACTTAAAATTTCTCGAAGAGAAGCATGAACAACGATACACTGAAGAATTTTTTGATCGATAATTTTACTTTAAATAGGGGTTTTACCTATCTTTGGTGGAAGACCCACATGCATATGTATATCATACATCATGGCTAACTTAAATTGGGAAACTTTTTTTACCCACCTTGATGATATTGTGCAACAATTGGTTTGGGAGTTCTACAACAACTTAACTAATGATCAACAACCGTGACGTGAGGGAGAAGATGGTGCATTGGTGGCAAAAACCCATAAATAAATTGATGGGCATCATCAAAACTGAATCCGTGCACACTAAGTTCGTAGCTGATCTCACGGTTCCTGACTTAGACCAAATCAACACTGACCTTTGCCTACCCAGTCGTGGTTGGATTAAGTTAACAATTGGGGCTTACACCATTAAAAGCTTGACCTTAATCTACTGTCGAGGGTATGGTTCACTTTTCTTTGCACTCGTTTAATGCCCGTTATGCATTATTATTCCATCACTAAGGATCTTATCTTACTATTTCACTCTATCATGTTTGTTAGACATATTGATGTAGGGAAATTAATATCTAAAGAATTATTTACATACGCTCAAAAAATGTCTAGATATTTATTTTTCCATGCTTTAATCATTGCACTGTGTAAGAAAACACAAGTGGTTGTCATGGATTTTGACCAAGTATTCGAGAATAGGAGTGTCGTAACACCCTCTTCCATTAAAAGAACCATGCTACCAGAATAATTAAGCACAAAGATAAGGAAATTCAAACAACTACCGATAAGTTATGTTGCTACTGCCCATTCATTACAAATAAGCCCTGCTATCTAAGAGCTACAAAATACGCTGGCTTCAATTGCAGTAGGGCAGAGAGAATAATGCCAATGCTAAGTCACAATTTGTAGAATCAATCTCAAATACATCATGTCCATGTCAAATATTGAGAATATGCTCAAGAGGGAGACATGGCGATACACAAGGTGATAAAAAAAATTTCCCAAGGTGGTAGTTCGTTTCCAATTCCCAAGCTAAGTATTATAAATTTAGCTCCACAAGCAGTGCCCGATGATGAATACATCTCTACTATCACTGATAAGATAAAAGATGTTGTTACCCAGGATGCAGAGAAAGAGAAGGAAGATGTTGAGAAGAGAAAATTGATGTTGAGAAAGAATTTGAGGATATAGAAGCTAATTTCGATAACGTAATTACTGATACAAATGTTGAGGACTTCGAGGACGTCAACATTGTGGATCTTAACAAGGGGGAGCTTAGCCACCATGAAGAGAAACAAAGTTTGGAGGAAAATGTGAACCAACAGAGGGAGGCTGCTAGACAATTTCTTGACTATAATGATGGCAAGGTTGCTTGAGAGGTTGCGACTGCAGATGAGAAGGGCCTTGATGCTGAAAAGATTATCAACAATGTTGTTGAAGTCATAATGTAGGAAGATGAAGCTAGCTTTCCTGAGGATATATCATTGTGAAGGTTAACGACATCAGGATGAAACAATGGTGCAAACATCTGCAATTGCACCTGCACCAAAATAGGCTGCTGTTGCAGCATATGAAACACCAGTCCCTCTTGCTATTGTGGCTCCTACCACATCAAAGTTAACTGTGCAAAAGTGAAAGATCACAATGAAGGAAAAAGTTATAGCAAAGAAACCTACCCAAGTCTACAAAGCCCAAGGAAAAGCCCCAGAAAGCCCAACTAGAGGAGTATTGTTTTACCCTTCCCATTTAATTAATTTTGATTTCATTATTGATTATGTTTTCATTGGGGACAATGCAACATTTAGGTTTGGGGTGTTATCCATATGTGTTATTATAATGTGTCATGTAGGATAACATTATGCATTTTAGTGTTACATATTGTTTTGCATTATTGTGCATTTTGTTAAAGCATTTAGGACTTTTATAAGTAATGTTGCATGCTAAGTATTGTTAAATTAATAGTTTTTAATAAATTTTGAGGATGCCTTATGATGATGATTTGAAATTGTGAAATGTCATGGGAATGTTTTAGAAATTTGTTAGAATTAGGATTCATATTAAATCTTTTACACCATAACTGTATGTTCTCAATACTTAGAGAAATTAGAAAATTTTGGACTTTAAATCTCATATATTTATTAGATGTTATAGCAATCGTAGAATCTTATATTTATTTTAAGATTAGAGCTAGATGTGCTCGAAACTAGCATTGGTAAAACAAAAAAATCTTTATTGCTTATTTTTCCAATATGCTGTAGGCATCACAAACTGAGTAGGAATATTTTTTCTAATTTAGCTAAGTATTGATTGGATACA